ACTCAGTGGCGCATGCCCTGGAAGCCTTGCATGCCTCCACGTTCAAGTGCAGGACCAGGACAGATGATGGACAAGGGAAGCTTTTGAATCAAGGGCCATGGCAGGTACTGTTCTGACCAACATAATATGGAGCAGCCAATCACAATTGAGTGCAAATGTAGAGTCCAGGCTTTGTATGGAATTTCCCATTGACAAAGGCAGATTAATCTCTTCGTTTCTATAAAAGACTTGACATGGCACGAGCTGCGGATATGGCAGAATCTGGCCTTCCAATCTCGTGCAGAAGGAACGATGAAGGTGACACAAAGTAGAGGATGGCCTGTTCCATTGAGTCTCACCTTCCCATAGTCTGCGAAAAAAGTCTTAGCCAGAAAAAGCTGCATGAAAAATTGTAGGAAGGAGAAGGTTAGGGGCTTCCCTCCCTCTAGCGGATGTCCATAATCCTTTGGTTTTAAACACTGAAGCAGGGTCAGAATGTCAGACCAAAATTGACAGATGTTTAGGATGGGTTTTGAGTCCATTTCAGGCTCTTTCTGGCCCCCTGACTGCTGTTTGGGAGGCTGCTCTGGTTTTTTAGTGGAGCTACAACTGGCTGGGGGCTGTTTCCTGATGGGTGCCTCACAATCGGAACAACCCAGTGCAAATGAAGAGTGAGAAGCCCACAAAGGCTGGACGTATTCCCCGGGAATTCAGACTCTGGGCACCAGAGAGCAGCTTCAAGTCCAGTGGTGTCTTCACTGAGAACTCAGACTCTGTGTCACCAGAAAGCAGATTCAAATTCAGTGAGCCAAATTTAGAAATCTCAGGGAATCTCAACCCCAGCTTGATTTCTTGCATATCCCTAATCCTTGGAGTTCATTTCTTGTGCAACAGAATGAGTCAGTATTCCCTGTAGTCATGTCAGGCCTGAGGTCAAATTTGCAATTCCTGTGTTCTATATAACCCTGTTTCTGATGCCTACTCCTCTTCATTTGGCATGCCTCATTCTGCAGTATCCATTCCTTCAGGGTTTCCCTAGATTTCCTGGATTTTTCTCCCATTCTGAAAATTTGAAATACCTCCCACAGAGGTTAATTACTGGAGGATGAAATACAAACTGCAATATCCTGGTGTTTTACAGACTTTGACACTTTCACTTCTGCCTTCAGCCCTACCCAGAAGAATCCAAGCTCCCTAGAGCTTCTTTGCTATTCTATTCAACCCTTAGACAGAAACAGCTTTCCTCCAGTCTTTGAGTAAGCAATACATATGTGATATGGATAGTAGAATGCCTCTTTTCTCATTCTTCTGAATTCTTCTCTTCTTACAATGTTCAGCTGCACCATTTCCTGAGGGGCTTGTCATTTAACAATAGTGCTGGGGAAACAATTTCCTTTGACCACAATGGAGAAATAATGGATGGCTTTGATATTCTCAACTGGATCACATTTGCAAACCAGTCTTTTCATAGAGTTAAAGTTGGAAAGATAGAGCCCAGCACTCATAAAGAAGAAGTATTCACCCTTCGTGAGGGTGCCATGATATGGGCCAGTGGGTTTGTTGAGGTAGGGTCCATTTGCATTGAATTTGGGATACTCAGTCATCAGTTGCCCAGTGTGAAATGGTATTTCACAGCAGAGCATAGAGTTTTCTCCTTGTCTGGTCAATCAGGTGATGATTCTTCAAGCCACAGTATTCAGCTCTTGCTCTTTACCTGACCAACCCTGAACAAAGTCTTCTCTATACATCATTTTAAAAAATAGTAGCTTTGCTGTATGGCTAGGAATTTTCACTGCAGGGGTAGACATTTCCAAGTAAATGTGCATAGGAATTCCTGAAAACTGACAATAGGAAGAAAAATATGACAGGAGCAAATATTTTCTTCCAAAGGACAGAAAAAAATGGCAAGAAATGTTAAGATGTATTCCAGATTACAAGAATCTAGACTTGTCTGGTGGAAGAGCACTTACTTGTTGAAGGAATACATCAGTTGAAGAAGTCTTTGGCAGCAGCCGATATTAGATCTTGGGAATCTGTAGAAGCATTTCCACTATGCCATGCCGATATTTACAAGCTAGAATAGTCTAAGGAGACAATGCCCTATGGGCAAAAAGTTGTATTTAATATTCAATAAGAAGAAGAATGTTGGAGCTACTAATGGCAAAGCAAACAGGGCAAGACTTTTTCTTATGACCACATTTAACAACCTATAAACAATGTATCAATAAAGTTGTATGTAGGTAAAACTGGAAAACATTAAAACCAATATAAGAGGATCAAAAATCACAGCAGGTATAATAAAATTAACATATGGCAGAATAGAAATAGTAATAGTATTAAACAGTATTCATAATAGTAGCAAAATGATAACTGTATTTGTTTAAATCTCTGTAAAATAAAAAGGTTTTGGCACTGAAATGAAAGTGAAGATGGTACCAGGCATAGGTCTCTGCAGAGCATAATCCAGGAAACATTTTGAAAGACCTGAATGTGAATTTAGACAACCAATCTATTATTAGTATTGCTACTAATACTTTTACTACTACCACCATTACTGTTACTTACTATTATTATAACTTTTAGCAAAAGAAACATGGCAAGACCTTTC